TTGGCATGAAACGTTTGAAGGTCCAGTTAAAACGCCCCAAGGATGCTAACCATCCCTACTGACAGCAGTGAGCAAGCAGGAGTCACTTCTGCAGCACAGGTAAAGCTGGCACCATCACAGCAGAGTTCCTACACAGTGCTGGCCAGTGTCGGGGGCAGCGAGGTCTGGCTGCTCCCTATGGGGTGGGAAGCCAGGAGCTGAATGCACACAGCGAGCAGGGCAGAGGCCTCGCCTGCCAGGGCCCAGCTCCAGCACCCGAGCAAGGCGACCAAGGCAGGCCTGGAGATGATGGCCAGGTTCATCCAAGAGTCTGGGTCATCAGGCAGGTTTGTGCCACTGAGGCAGGCCCAAGGCCAAGCCAGAGAGGCAATCTGCAGGTGAAGATCAGGATCAGATCTGGTGAAGGTACACGGGGTCAGACGTAATTCAGTGATTGCCAGGCAGGTCTGTAATGGGAAGAATAAACAGATCTGACATGAAGATGGGAAGGTGATCCAAGGGCTAGAGTCCAGGTAGTAAGATCCGTGGATGGGACAGGTTCATGGACAGGTGGAGACTGGCACTTCCAGATCAGACAAGGACTGGAGGTGCAGGCCCGAGCTGTAATGAGACTCCTGGGCCCATGGGGAGCGAGTGTGGACAGAGGCTGCAAGTGAGGTTGATCAAAGCCATTAAGGCCCATTAGTGCACACAGGGCCCTGACATACGGTTCACGTTACCTGCCTGTGGTCAGAGCAAGGTTTCAGTCTACTTTCTGACCGCTCCTAAAAAGTGTTCATCTTCCTAAAAAGTTTTAAAATCCTACAGTATTGTTTTCAGTTGTTACATGTGCCCTGAAATTAGACTGCAGAGAATGCTTTCCAGGGTAAGAAGGGCCAATCCCATGATTCACAAGGATCACCGAAAAGCAGAGAAAAGTTGAGAGGCTGAAGGGCCACAAAGAGCTGCCTGACACAAGGGCTGGCTGTGAGCGAGGGAGGGTCGATCCCTTCTCATTGGCGTCATCTTCTTCCACACTTAAGCGACAACTCAAAGCGTGAGGTTTGCATAGATATTCTCCTAATCTCCCGATTCCCTCCCTCCTCCCTTTCTATTCAGGTGAAGGGAAAGTCCAGAGGAAGAATTTCTGCTTCAGGTTGATTTGCAGAGAGGCCAGTAAACTTATCAACTCTTTTGACACCGCACCTTTCCTTCCTCTGCTCCCCACCTCCCCACCCCATCCTCCTCCTGCCCTCTTCCCCAAAACATGCAATTAAAGAGAAGGCTCAGTATCTGCCCAGCAGGAAGATTCTTGCGGTGATGGACTTGCATATTTACTGCTAACGTGGTGCATAGCAAGGGGACCAGAAAACCAGCAGCCCCATGGGACCCGAAGCTCTTCCTCTCGGGGTATGCCTGGAGTACATGGACCAAGAAAACCCCGTGGTGGTGTGTCTCTAGGTAACTGCAGTGATATATGGAACCTTAGCTCCGTCCCTCTGTCCCTCCTGCCCTTTCATAGATAAATATATATATATATACAGTCTCTGGTTTTTTTTAAGCGGCTCACAGGACCAAACTTTTCCATTCAGAGACTGACTCCTTGCAAGAGGAATTGGAAGTTAAGGGTTTACCTTTGCAACAGTGTCTTTTCAGCAAGCACTGCAGATAGGCCTGAACATTTTCAGAGGATGCTTGGATGGACGGAGAGCAAATCTCTCTGCTCAGTGTTAGCAAGGAGAAAGAGAACTACATACCTCCAGGATTAGGGCACAGCCAGCTGCTCACCATCCACCGACCTTAGCACCAGCCTGGTTAAGGATCTCAAGAGCTCTAAGTCTTACCTTTCCAAGGGCTCTGCAGACAAAACTCCTGGAATTTGGTGCCAAAGCCTGTCCTGAGCACTCACTGATTAGGCTGAAAGCACAGGAAAACAGTTCCTTTTTATCTGCCCAGCAGGAAGATACAGGAACTGTACTGCCTC